AAGCCCTAGCCTAGCACATGCCCCATCTAACAGCAAGGCGACTGCGGCGACTGCTACGACTACTGTACTGACTGTCCATGACATGATGTGCACCTGAGTGCACCTCGGTGTTGGTCACGCGCTGTGGCTGTGGCCTGTCACAAAAGCAGGTTGATTTATGTCACGAATCGTCACTGAGTCACTGAGGCACTGAGAGTCACAAAAGCCATGACGTCGTCCAATGTCCCGCCTGGCTTTTGGAGTCCGTGACAGACCTGAGTGGGTCGGTATTCATATCATGCAAGTGTAACTAACCAGCCAGTCAATCAAACGGTGCAAGCAGTTCAAGCAAACGTCGAACAGCAACAGGCAGACAGGCATGAGCTTCTTTTTTTGGTCGCCCAGCTCGGCCACGATCTGTTGTCACGTCAGAGCCCATAGCCACTGCCACCCATTGCCCATAGCCACAGCATCCGTCCTTAGTTGGATATGCGAGAGTGACATGGATGTATGAGTTCACCAAATTGCATCTGTCGAGTGCATCCAAGCGGCATCATAGTTCCCGGCTCCAGCCCATCAGTCCACGTCTGTGTAACATTTTAGCATGTGTCAGTCAACGTGACATGTGTGGCATGAGCATGGACTCAATGGACTCCAATGAACATCGACCATGCGACCTCCAGGCTCACGTTCGTCGTTGCCGGACTCGGGCTCGTGCTTAACGGCAGCGCTGGGTGCGGACTGCGCTGCCTACACCGATCGTGACTCAGGGGAAGATGAGCTGACTCACACACATGTGACATGAACGGACACATCATGTCATCATGAATCATCATCATGCCTCCTCAGATGACCGTGGATCCGTGGACGGGCTATCCATGGCATAGTACTGCCGGACAGCCTCCTGTGTCGCTGGCGACAAGTCCTCGTCAACGTCCGGCGCAGACGGAACTTTTGGCTGAGCCACCTGTCTCGCCCTTGCCCTCGGCACGGAGCGTCTGGCCACGGACTTCTTGGGCACGGGCATGGGGCCCTTGGCCAAGCTCTTGGCCACGGAGCCTTTGGGAATCATGGTCTTGGGCGGTGTCGCTGTCTTCGGTGCGATGGCCTGGGCGGCGGCCACGGAGCCTGTGGGGGTCGTGGTCTTGGGCTTGGGCGGCGTCGCTGTCTTCGGTGCGATGGCCACAGAGCCTTTGGGGGTCGCGGTCTTGGGCGGTGTCGCCACAGAGCCCTTCTTGGGTGCCGGTGTCTTGGCCACAGAGCCCGAGCCCTGCTTGGGCCGCTTGGGTGTCGGCGTCTTGGGCTTCGTCCGTTGCACATTACTTGCCTTCGCCTGACGTCTCACACCCACTGACACGGAGAAACTAAGAGTCGCGTTCGTGGTACCCAGGCCGCAGTACACGCCACTCGTAAAATCTATTCAAATGAAACAACAACTTACACACACCAAGCAAACAGCATGAATGACATTGAAATGACGACGACCAAGTGTGAGACTGGGAGTCACAGGAGTCACTGGTCACGGTCACGTGATCACAATAGTGGTAATGCAGAACATGTTGTCCATGGAGTCCATGGTGCAGATGGAGTGACGTGAATGCACTGCATCAATACATCATGCGAAGTGGCACGTGGCCGTATGTGTATGGCCGGGCCGTGCAGAATGGATGTGGCAACATCGGCAACATGCATGCATGCAACACGTCATGTTTGATGGGTCACCTTGGATTCCACACCGTCGGACCGAGAAGCACATACACGCGGGCATAAATCAGCACACACTGTCACACTGACACACTGCTACTGCAGCATTCCCATGTTGGCCTTTGCGTGGTTGCTGCTGCTGCTCGACGACGACGAACTGGACGCTGGGGTTGTGCTGCTGCGACTCTTGCGACGTCGCCGGGATCTCGATCGTGTTGCCTGGGCGAGACTTCGTGAAAGTGACACAGTCTCGTCTCATGCAAGAGTCATGCACTCATGTACCGAGAGACCTAAGTTGAATGCGGGAATGCTGGCTGGAGACCGATCTCTTCTTGCGACCTCTTTCTTCTGGCCGGCGTTCCTTGACTCTCCTCGATTTTGTTCTCGATCGAGTCGATGCCTGCAAGGCCAGGATGTTCAGGTGATATTGTCTGGTACATGTGACTGTGACATGTGACCGTGACCGTACACTGGTACACTGTACACTGCCGTACACTGCGGTCCAAGGACCGATCTATGACGCTGCCGGCGGCTTCTGCTGGAGCTGCGGCGGCGTCTGGAGCTGCGGCGGCGGCGTCTGCCGGAGCTGGAGCGTCTGCCGGAGCTTGAGCGATGTCTGCCTCTGCCGGAGCTGGGTGGCCTGGGCGGCGTCGGCGTTCTGGAAGGAAGTGCCTGGCGTGGCACTAAAAATGCTGATGATGATTCTTATGATATCAGTGTTGTTGTTCATGGACGAGATACCGTCTGGCGCAGGATCGGAATCTGTGGCTCTCTCGGGCCTCTCGGCCAAGCAGCCTTAGCTGTCGCAGCCTTTGTGGCCGTCTGTCACAACTAGACTATACATTGATGATTAGGCATCACCCGTGAACTGTAGCAAATGATGTTTGACATGACACAAAGTCCTGGACTGGCGTCCATCCTGCCGGTCTTGCTGGCGACGTGTCCTGAACAGCGGCACCGGCATGTGTATCAAAAGAACTGGCATGGCACATAAAGTCACATAAATGATGCGACAAGCGGCAGCGTCATCACTCGCCACCGTCGCCGTCGCCGCCTCATTGGACTCTGTGACCTGAGCGTACCCAGCGAACCAGCGAACCGAGCGATAAGTTACAACGTCACCTATCTCATACTCATGTTCACATGTTCCAGCTCGGCGACGTTCGGCACCGAAGCCGGGGGCTGGCTGTCAACAGCCTGAGACGTCTTTCGCTGCAAAACCGCGACGCATCACGCTTTGATCTATCAGAATCTGTCTCTCTCATGCAATGTGCCAAATGCCTCATGAGCATCTGCCCTGGACTCCGTCGGCAGTGGTGTACTCGTTACCTTGGTTGGCAGCAATGAGGGATAGCATGGGGATTCGGGATCACCTCACTCACTCAAGACTCATGATGCTACTGGTCAGAAGTGCCAAATGTCTTGCGAGCAGCAGCTTCCTTGGAGTCCTTGGAGTCTTCCCCGGTCTGTGTCGGGAGCGACGCAGTCGGTACCTTTGCTGGCAGCAAGCAGGGATGTCATTGCGATCACTCCAACCATGACTCATGCTGCTTACTGGTCAGGAGTGCCAAATGCCGCCATGCGAGCCTCTGCCTCGTTTGCCCCGGACTCTGTTGGCAGCGGCGTGTCCGTTACCTTTGCTGGCAGTTAAGGAATGGCATGGAAATCACTGCACTGCACTCATGATGCTACTGGCCAAAAAAGTCTTCAATGCAATTCCTAGCTGCCTCCGTCGGAACAGATGAAAACGCCACGCCGCAACTCGAGTAGAGCGAGTCGTGGATGGAGTTGCAGTCATGGCTGTACGGCTGTGGCACACGCGCATGCAACGGTGGCACCGGCGTGTCTGCCAATGCTGGCACCGTCGGCGAAGTCGGAGTCGACGGTGAAGTCGGCGTCTTCACACCCGGTGCTTGGGTGGGCTTTGGGGTGGCCGCCCTCTTGGAGCCCTTGGAGTCCTTGGAGCCTGTGGACTCTTTGGACTGCTGCTTTGCAGTCGTGCCGGCCGGGCCGGCCTCGTCTTGAGGTGGTGGGCCCTTTGGTGGCGGCATCGGTGGTGGCCCAGGTGGCGGTGGCGGGGGGGGAGGAGGAGGGCTTCTCGAAGGCTTTGCCCTGCATGCCGCCATGAAGGGGAAGCCTGGCATGACGAAGGGCCCCGGCATCACAGGCGGCATCACAACGACGGGGATCGGGATGCCAAACGGCCTGCCAAACGGCGGTGGCGGCGGTCCCCGTCCCCTCAGCCACTGGGGCAGTTTTGCCGGCGGGGGCAGGTTGATGGTGGCCCAAGGGTTGCGGGGCTTGGGAACCCCTTGGCCCCCTTGGCCACCCTCACCATCATTCCCATCCTCTTCTTCTTCATCCTTTGCCACCTCCTCCTGGGCGGGTGGCTCCGATGGCCCCGACTCATCCGCCGGTCGCTCCGGCTCCTCTTCGGCCGGTGGCTCCTCTTTCTTGGCTGGTGCCATTATGTTGTCGGATGCAAATGTTGTTGGATGCAGAAACCTGAACCTTTCGGCTACTGTCTCACGAATGTCATGCGAATGTCATGTCATCTGTCTGTCAATGTTCTAAGTCACTAGTGCCATGAGTCCATGAGCGTGACACAATTGTGGTTGGCTTGAGCATGACACACTGCACTGATATTGCACTGACCCATGGACCAATGGAAGCAAGCAAATCACTGCCAAACGCCACGCAAGAAGAACACATTTGGACTTGTCTGCACCTGCACAACTCCAAGCCCCGGGCATCGATGTTGCAGCGTCCGGTGCCACGTCCGATTCAAACCTGCGTTGTAAGGGCTTGAGTCGACTTAACTGTGTCACCGTCTGTCAGTTATCTATGTCATGCTCTGCATCACTGCACCGAATTGCCAACTGCACCGAGGCTGACACGAAACAACATGCAGTCCAAACCTTTGGTTCTACACCTACATGTTGGCATGACAGCACGCAAACCACTTTGTGTTCCGAATTAACCTGGCCTCAGCTCGAGCATGTGTCTGCACAAGCAGCAGAACCTTTCTACACTGGTGGTGACATGACTCATGACCCAATGGCCCAATGGCGTGTCGCAGTGTCACATGGCTCTAACCAAGCATTGAATCATGCGCTCATGAGGCTCATGAACTCATGAACTGAACTCATGACACATGACAGACAGACAGACAGACAGGGCATGCGGGCATGCGGCATGCAGCACTGCAGTACCTGACATGTAGCAATGAACATGAAGAGTCACAAGATCACCGTCGGACCATAGCAATCCCGACAGCATGAAGTGTAGTTCGTGACATGTGACGACTTGCACTAGCACTAGCACTCTAGAGGTTCATTAGGCAGTCTAGAGTCTAGGCCCCCCTGCACACCGGTGTCGCGAAGCGCTCGAGGAAGGTCAGACGAAGACGGACTTGGCCAGCTAGCCGAACCCTGATCGACGCGCGAGTGACACTCCGCCAAGACCTTGTCACAACAACCGCGGTGACTGTGCAGCAAACAGACAGGGCAGAGGGCCAACGGGCCCGATGGGCTAGTCCGTGGTGGGTCGGTCTCTGCCAGCCTCACATCGGACCCAACACCATCCGACACGGAGTCACATTGCCCACAAACGAAGCACACTGCATCATCCATAACGAGATCGATATCATCCATCAGTTTGCTCTGTGCGGCACGAAGCATGTCAATCATGCGGAGAAGCACAGCTGGAACTTGATTGGCCTGAAAATGATGCAGTGTCGATTGGGTCCTTCGCTCACGAAGTACACGCACACCTGTGGCAGGGATCAGAATCGATGCACCCTTCTCGACGAAGTTCATGGGTGTCCGCTTGTTTCCGACTGGAACGATGCACTTCAAGCGGTTTGTGTTCGGATCAAAATCAGCAATCCGCCCACGGATACCAGGGTCTGTCCACTGCACAAACACGAACTGTGACGGAGTGTTCGTGGACGTGGACTCCGTTGACACTTCAGGTAAAGACACCAATGAGACTCCTGATTCCTGATCTTGGCCGGGACGCTTGCCCTGGGACCATGCATAATAGTCCAGTGAATCGACTCCTTTCTGGACACATGATAGCCACTGAGTCAAAGCAGAGGCTATATCGGAAACTCCACCACTTGTGCCGCCTGATTGACCTCGGGATGCATGCTCGGTTCTGGTTGGGGAACCAGCCCTGTGAACACAAAAAAGCAGAGACTAGTCTAGGACGCACTAAGACTTTGCAACAACTGACATCATCACTGATATGATATGCGGCATGATGACAGTATAGTACATCGGGGGATGGGCCAGGCGTGAGAGTCCGGGATGTCCCGCTATCACTCCATACTCAACACTACTACACTCGCACTATCGTGACATGACATGTCTGACATGATCAACGTGACATGAAATCACATGGACTCACATGGATGTTCAAATGCAGATTCTGCATGTGTGACACCTGTGAACCAATCAACCCCACGCTCCCACGAACCCGGGAACGGACCCGTGACAAGCACGTTGCATGATACATACATACATACAACTTACAACTTACAACTTACAACTTACAACTTACAACTTACAACTACAACAACAACAACAACTACTACTACTACAACTACTACAACTACTACTACTACTACTACTACTACTACTACTACTACTACTACTACTACTACTACTACTAATACTACTACTACTACTACTACTACTACTACTACTACTACTACTACTACTACTACTACTACTACTACTACTACTACTACTACTACTACTACTACTACTCCTGCTGATGCTACTACTATAAGTTGTGTTGGTCTACCCACCCGTCGCCTGTACCATCAGCATCGTTGACAGAAGACATGTAGTCCACACTGTTGCCCATGACGCTGGCCTGGTTCAGCACTGCTTCGACGGCCTGTGCGTGCCCATCCAGGTCCATGTCAGCCGTAGCAAAGGAGGCAATGACACGGGGAGGGAGCATCGGGCACACACCAGTGCGTAAGGCATCGTGTGCCCTTTCGGTGTCCGCGAATAGCATGGTTTCCTCCATGACCTCCTCCTGAATGTCTGTGCGCAAGATCTCTTCATCTTGCTCGATAGAGTCTGAAACGAAAAAGGCCCGGGACGACTCATCGGTGGCCTTGTTGAGTGCGGCGCAAGCAGCCGCAATCTCTTGGTCACCGTGGTCGTCATCATCAGCATCAGCATCCGCCTCAGCTTCCTCCATCAGGAAGTGCATCCCCTCCATGATCTCCGAATCCCCACACGCATCCGCATCAGGAGCTACATCATCTCCGGACTCGTCCCCGTTGTCTACACCAGCGGCATCAGCGGCATCCTTTCCCGAATCATTGTGTTGCGGATCTGTGGAACACAGTTTCTTCTGGAGTTTCTTGGAAGGTGGTTTGAGCGTAGTCACAGGGACGGGTGCTTGCGTTCCGTAAGCACCGACGAGACTCAGGTCACACATTGAAGCAGTGGACCTGTGAACCGGGACGATGCATATTTGTACCATGCCCGATGCACCGGCCACATTGCAATAGTGAGAAGCAATCACATCGATGGAGTTGTGAAAGGTTAAGGGCTTGCGAACGTGCACCCACTTGTTGTCGTCGCCACCATTGTTTGACAGTGAGCACTCGACCAGACGGTGTGAAGACCGGATTTTCTCGCAGGCCACATAGTAGGAGAATGTGCTCTTGCGAGCACCCGCTGCTCTGTGTGCAAAACAAATCACAGGCACCTGGTGGTGTCGATCCGATGAACTCTCTCGATCATGCAATGCACGGCTCAACAACATGTTGTAGCAAGCGGCCCAATTCTTCTGTGATACTGGAACTTTACAGGGATACAACCGGCGAACAATCTGTGCAAGTTTGGTCTGAGGCAGCAATTCTGGATCTTCAGGTGCTTGCCAGCGTGTGGTGTCTTCCTGGATTTGCAACCTATCATGCCAAGCCGTGAGGCAAGACCGCAACATGGACAAGGCTGTGGGTTTGTACGTCGACCACTTGCGACGTTGGCTTCCGGACCCAGCGTGACCAGCTTCGCCAAGGAAATGTTTGATGCATGCACGGCTGGATTGCAGCTCGACAGAGGCGTTGGGGCAACGTTCTGCGGTCAGCTTGAGCTGTTTGTTTACCCGCTCGTTTTCCCGCGTGTCGGCTTGCCAAACCCTGGCCACACCACGCATACAAACCCGTAGTGGCCCAACAAGCACTCCCTGAATAGAAGCCACAGTCAACTCTGCATTGAACAGCGTCTTCACTTTGCGTGCGTTGATCTCCAGCTGGTCTGGCTTGGCCGACAGCAGCTCGCGTGCGACCTGTTTGCGCTCCTCACAACAATCAGAATCATGTGCTTTCACCAGCAACATGAGTCTCTGCGGATACGCCTCCAAAGTATCCAGCACCCTACGATGGAAACATGATGCGTTGTGAAGGATCTGCACAAACGCCAAATACATGAGCCATACAGCATCGTCATCACTGTCCAAGTCCGTTCGAGAAATAATAGCCCTCCATCGTGACGATGAACCTGAACCTGGGCTTAATGACATGCACATTGAATATGCATTATATGGCCGCATGGCATGAACTTTCAACTGTCCCAGTCGCATGAACATCAATGTGAAACACCGTGACACAGTGGCACATGCCGTGCGAATCTATGACACAAACACGTGACCGTGGCCGTCAGACGGGCATCAGGACGGAGAATGATCACTCGTGAATCTCGTGAATAATCTAGTTAATAGTCGTGCTCGTGCTCTGATTATTTGTGAACACTCAAAACATGACTCATGACTCCATGAGACTCATGACTCATGATTCATGATGACTGAAGACTGTTATGACTCGCATGATTCTCGTGACCACAAAGGTAAATTCACAGCCAGTGGCCCCAGAGCATGTCGTCAAACTCTTGCCCGATTTGTGCCCCCTTCCCGACCACCAGCCGGAACATGGGAGCATTTTCCGTGGGCAAGACCTTGGCCTTTAAGTAGTTGCTGAGGTGGATGAAAGGCTTGCGGCACAGGTTCATCACCTGCACCACGCCATCGAACAAGGGGTCACGCACAGTGGACATGGAACTTGTTCGCCACCTGCCCATGCGCTTCCGGTATTCCTTCTTCTCCTCAACGGCCAGCATGTCGACATCGTACGCACCATCATTGTCTTGATCATTGTACTCCGTGCATTGGAACACTCGCATCATTGTGGCTCGCAACGCAGGCACTCCAGCTTTCAAGAGGCGGGTTTCCGTCAGGTCTATCGACCCCCATCGCTCTGCAATGCACCTGGGAAACAGAGTCCTCACACATTTGTTAGCAGATTCATCCCCGTGAAGTGTTCGCCAGGCAGTGTACAGGTCTTGTGAGATGTCACGGAGAATGTTGGTAAGCATAGCCACACTAGAGAAGTATTTCCACTTGCGTCTGCCAGCGAGCAACGAATCCACCAGCTTCAACCCGCCAAGTACACCCAGATGTGCCTGATGTTCGTAACAGTCGGCCGGAAGGAAGAAACACCATGGAACATCCATCAACTTGGCCTGCACAACCTTCTTAGTCCAAATCTCATTCGGACCACGGTCTGTGGTGCACATGATCCAAACGAAGCTGTTGTGGGTCCTGAAGCTCAGAGGTTAAGCCAGCGTGTAGTACAGTACAGCCATCGAATCGGAACATGGAGAAATATTGAGTTAGACATAACAACATGAACTAACATGTACTGCGCATGGCATGAGACCATGAGTCTATGAGTCGCGGGACCCGGAAAGGGAACGTGACATGACATGGTAACATTACCAAGACTGAATCATGACCTACTGCGCATGAGTCTAATAGCCATTCTAAGCAGTCGAGACGTTCCACGTTCCACGTCTTTGTGACTCGACCACATTTTTTTCACTCTCTTCGTTGTTACATAACCTACACACACCACGACATCACGACACCGACATCGACACCGTCATGATGCCCGCAAATTACATCCCCTGACTCACTGGATCCTGATGCTACGATGTGACCGATGCGAACAGGGCACACGACACCAGCCTCATGCTGTTCCACAAATGTATCCCAGGTCGGACAGCCCAAACTCTCAAGCATCTTCTTGCACAGGGCCAAAGTTGCGGGACCATCGCCGCGGTGAACGGGGAGTACATCTGCCAACCTTCTGATGCAGGTTAGATCCTTGGGACTCAATCGCGGCAGGTCATGTCGGGCAGCTACAACATAAGATGCCTGCAATTCCAGCGCTGTCATCTTCGACCGATGTTTGGATGAGTTCGTTGCATCCTCCCTGTACTGCAGCCACAGGAAGGAGCAACGATCGTCTTCATTGTGACGGTCAGACAGCTCTGAGTCCCGTTGTTGGAAAAACTGGTGCGCGGATGCCATCAGGGCCGCTCCTGATCGACACTCCGCTCTCAGGACTGTTTGTTTGCTGCAGTCGTCCATGATCACCAATCCCAGGTCCTCTGCACTGCAGTTGGACATGTTGCGCCTGATGGCTAGCGACAACGTTCCTTCGGGAGTGAGCCATCCCTGCGAGCGTGATGTGTGTCCCGGTCCCTGCTCATTGATGGAGGCGTCGATGTGATCTTGAGCATCTAGGCGCTTTTTTTTGATACTGAAATATTCATCAATCTTGTTTGACTCGAGGCAACGAACCTCCTTCTTTTTGGCCCTGTCAGATTTCACTCGTGTGATGTGCAGCGTGTCTCGGGACTCCCGTTCCATGTCATTCACAATATCTGAGCGGAGATCATTCACTTGCTTCTGAAGACGTGTGCATCTCTGTCGGTAGTACTTCAGCATCTTGGCTTGGCTGTTGATTTTGGCATCTTTGGTTGCAAGAAGTCTTCTGAGCAACTGCAGAGAGACAGAACCTGAACCATTGTGATTGTGGCCTTGTCTATGACGAGGTCGAGCATCATGAAGGTCACGGAGGTCATCATCAGGGTCAGCGCCAACACCACCCCCAGACCCACACCCATGAGACTCATGAGGCTGACCGTCCACTCGAGAATCACTCGCACTCGCAACCCCGGCGTTGGAACCTAGGTTCTGCTTCAGTTGATGCCACTCATCAGGTCTGAATGATAAAGCGTGGATGTCCTCCAGCACACAGAGGAGGACGTCGAAATCGAACATCGGTTCACCACTGTGTGCATGCCCCTCGCGCAAGAACAAGAGACCAGTGGTTGACATGAAATGATCGAATTCAAACCCTCGCACGGCTCCCCCACCGGCAAGAGAGTATTTACCTGCTTGACATATCGAATAAATATCGGATCTGGTCACACACAAACGACCATCAACTCCGGAAACACATGCACATTTCTGTAGCAAATTGAGCAGCACAGGCTGGATTGCCAATGAAGGCAGCGACATGGCTGGCTATATTCCTGCACGATATGGTGGCAATACTGATACGAATAAACCCAGCCAGCCAGATGTAGTCTAGAGTCTAAGAGTCTAACCGTTCTGCATCCGAGTTCAGAAACTTCGACTCAAGATGTGATCTGATGACATCACCTTGCACACAGTCACACAGAATCGTCAATTCGTCAATATATTTATATATATGTATATTATGTATATGAATACACACACGACCGCGATGCCGCACTGAGTCGAGAAGAGCTGAGCGTAACCGTGACCGTAACCGCTACGTGTACTTTTACATGGCACATGAATCATGAACTACATGACTCCATGACAGCTAGCTGCTAGAGCAAAATGCTGCATACATGGGTGCATGACATGCATCAGTGCATAGTGCATGAATGACCAAACTGCCGAAGCAATATGCTGAACATGTTGCATGAAACATTGCATGAACTTCATGACCACGATCCTATGAACCATGCCATGAGCACATGAGCACATGCAGTCACATGAAATGACTCGCATGAACCGCCGACACTTATCAGAAGAGAACACCAGCGAAAACGTCGGACCACGACTACGACCAGCAAACAACAACGATTAACAACAACAACCACAACAACAACAACAACATCAACAACAACCACAACAACAGCAACAACAGCAACAGCCACAACAACGACAACACCACCAACCAACAACTAACAACAGCAACAACAACAACAACAACAACAACCATAACGACGCCATCAACAACAACAACACCACCAACAGCTCAAATGTTTCGACAGATTCACCAGAGTTATCACAAGCAGCTTAAAAATTAATAAGCAACCACAACAGCAGCCGCCGACGGCCGACAGCCTCAAACTCACTGACCCACTGAGCCACTGAGTCGCCAATCAATGCACCAGCCAGCTAAGCACAACAACAACAACAACAACGACAACTTTGCCCAACACCAACAAATGCAAACGACAAACTGACAGACAATGAGACAAACAGACAAACAGCCGGCCAACCACGGGACAAGCCACTACTCAAGCAATTGCAGCAGCAGCAGCAACAAGAACAAGAAATACGACTCGCGAGGGCATACGACGACGAACACTGACTCAAAACAACGGGCATACAAGAACGACTAACGACTAACTACTAACTACCCGTAACTCGTACAATTGACTCTTCGAACGACTAACCGAACCACACCGATCCAATAATAACGACCACAGTTCAATCGACAGTAGAATTTGAAAGAACGCAAAAAACAGCAACACAACAACAACACCAACAACAACAGCAACAACAGCCGCAGCAGCAACAGCAGCAACAATTGCAACAGACAAACAAGGACCAACCAATGAACCAACCAACCAAGAACTAAGGATTCTAAGGATTACAAGGATCAACTGGATCAACCAATCAACCAACCAATCAACCCACCAGGGACCCACCAGGCAAGCAAAACAAGCCAACAAATAACAAACACAAACAACCAAGCAAACAAACAAACAAATCAAGTTACAAAACATTAATAGAATAGGTAGGTGATGATAACAGTTCAATCATCCTCACCATAACACATAGCAACAACAGTAGCAACCACAACGACAACCACAACACCATCAGTGACATCAATCACCAAGGCAACAGCAACAACAACCACTCAGCACAACCGCGGACTGCAGCAACAACACGGACCAACAACAACAACAATACGACACCAACAACAAACACAACCATGAGATAGCATAAGACAATAAACAAACCAAAACATCACACGAGGTGGCAGCAATGTAAATAGTAACAAACATGACAGGGCATCACATGGCGTGAGCATGAAGCATGAGCATGAGGCTAACATGAGGAGTGGTTGTTGATGTGATTTGTTGATTCTAATTGTTGTTGTGATTGAAATTGTGTGCGCGTGTGTGTGTGTGTGTGTTGCACTGGTTGGTGTTGTTGTGATTGTACTGTGAGTGCCAGATATGTTCAGTTGTTGTTGCTGATGCTGCTATGCTGGTGACACTGTTGGTTTGTGATGCTATGTGCCGTGTTTTGGTGTTTCAGTTTGCTCTTGGTGATGTTGTTGTTGCTGCGCTGCTGTCGTTGGTATCGTTGGTGCTATTGTAGATGAGATGAGTTGATTCGACGACGACGATGATTGTGATGGTGACGGTGATGAGATATCGTTGGTGTTGCTGTTGACATTACTACTATTGTTGAGGTTTATGTTGATGTTGCTGGTGTTGTTGGTCGGTGGGTGGATTTTTTGGTTGTGGTGATGTTGGTGTTGTTGTTGTTGGTGGTGGTGACGTGTTGTTGTGCGCTGCTCATGAGCACATGCACTCGTGGTCATGTTGAGCATGTTGCATATGCCGAACATGAACATGTCGCACATGCTGAAAAGGAGCAACATGCGGAACATGAGCACATGCGCTCTCATGCATAAACATGTTGCACATGCGAAACATGAGCACATGCACTCCCGAGCCCTCCCCCCAGCCCATCCCCAAACATGTTGCACATGCGAAACATGAGCACATGCACTCCCAAGCCCTCCCCCCAGCCCATCCCCAAACATGTTGCACATGCGGAACATGAGCACATGCACTCCCAAGCCCTCCCCCCAGCCCATCCCCAAACATGTTGCACATGCGGAACATGAGCACATGCACTCCCGAGCCCCTTCCCCCAGCCCATCCCCAAACCCGCGGCGACCCGAGGGGGGGATGCACTCCCGAGCCTCCCTGCTTCCCCAACCTATCCCCAAACCCGCGGGGACCTGGGGGGGGTAGGGGTCCCCACCAACCCCGGCTTCAACCAACAGCGCAAACTGGAACCTACAACTTGACGATTGACGGTTGTTTAGAAGCCATAGCAAGCAGGCCGTCAAGCTGTTCGGTGTCTCAGGTACTGCCTGGGATTTGAAACGTGGAGCCATTGTCCTTCTTGTGGCTCGGGCCATTAGCAAGAGAGTATGGCTACCGCAAATCCTCAAACTGAAACTTGCTGGACAAGAGGCTGACTAGCTCCCAATGGAACAACCTCGTCTTGTATCCCTCTGCACGGGGCCTGAAGATCGACTTCCTCTCTGTCAGCGATCTGAGCGCGACAGGCTGAGCTCTAGGGCTTTGTGGATGTGGTGGTCTTTGACCGCGCACCGGGGAGCTGAGGTTTGATGGTGGCTTCGCTGCCAAGTGTTCAGGCCCCATCGCCCAGGGTTGAAGGTGAAGGACATCGCATGACCCGTGCCTTGAACACTCCAGTAGAATCCCTACGAGGTTGGGGCCAAGCTTCCCCACTCAGCAATTGCCAAAGCCCGACATTACCGAGAAACCCCCATGCTGAAGATTCGTGAACAAAAACCTTTGAAAGCCCATTCCAAGCTGGAGCAGTCTGCTATTTGACGTCGCTGAGCCTCGACAGCATGGGCGTATGCCTCGCTGCATGCACAACGAAGAAGCTTTCTGTTGGCCAGCAAGCCCTTCAACCCCTGTTGTATCTTTCTGGCTAGTTCATACCAGAACATTTTTCGTAGATTCTGTGCATCAGCTGGGACATGTTGCACTGTCAGCATGATAACCATCAAACCCAACGACAAGATGTGGCTTCATGAGCTGAAAACATCCACAACAACATAATTAGCCAATGTGCGAGTCCAGTTGACAGCACCAATCAAACTTTCCACCGGATAGCTCGCTGAAAAATTCAGTATAGGACACTGATAACGGTGGCAAGCCAGCAGCGATCATATTATATGAACCTGAGCCCTAAGCCACGCCTGCAGGGACAACATCTCGGTTGGTCTCTGATCTAACTCCTGACACGGAAGCTTGCATGGTCTGCGACCTCTCTGGGGAAGCCGAGGGGGAAGCCCTGAGGTTTGCATGTACCTAGATCATACGAGTACATGGTATAGTAGAGGGGAAATTGGTACTCCCGCCCTTCTTAGCTTAATGTTATTATGATGTATGAGCATGTAGATGGCATGGAATGGAAATCCTCGCGGTTTGCCACTCTGATTCACCAACGAAGGATTGGTACAGCAACGAGCCTATAGCACTTGTTGAAGCCCGAGTTCCACTCTGATTCACTCGTCCTGTGTAGATATGCATGTGCTTATATACACATCTATGTATGTATGAATGTATATCTTCACATACTGCTCGTGCATAGCTCCAAAGCTACATCGGTTTCGGCAGAACCTCGGTAAGCCGCTCCAAACGCTCGGCGAGGATCTGCCCTTCATGTTGAGCCTCGGAAGGAAGTATTTTTTTGTGAATGTCATGTTTAATGCTATAATGTTAATTGCTTAGCTTCTTGTTATTCATACAAGTATCACTATTGCTGTCATTAGCACTATTCGCAATTGCTACTGTTTTCCTTGTTTGTGTTCATGATTCTCATCACGCTTACACTAAGACGTTGCTCCTTAGATTATGGATTGCCATCTTCCCCTAAAAAAATGATACCTGCATAGAGCGAGTACGCATTATGATCTACTTGGGGTTGTTCCAATTGAGGCTTGTGTGTGGGAGGCGTGCCGAGGAACAGGCGTTGTTGACACGCTTTTGCGTGTGTTCGAGGCGTGCGTACATCCGGAGCTTTGCTAGTCGCCCTCATAGAGGCCCTCATAGAAAGTCGTGTCACAGGAACCCACCATCAAAAGAACAACACGCAAGCGAACGACGAAGTAGGAGATTGTTTTGACCCGTGGCTGAGGCAAGTATTGGCAGTTGCTGCAACCAAGGGCGCAAGAGACTTACTTAAAGACCGGCAATATGGCGAAATCGCACAGGGACATGCTTGGCTCCCGGTATGGGAGTGTGCAGGGTTCCTATGATTTTTCGACAAACGCGGAACGATGCGATGTCTGCAGATTTGCTTGTGTTAGATTGCACAGCCTTTACCCGAAGCAGCTATCGCCGAGTTCGACTAACGCGCTGGCAAACTTCTAGGTGGTAGCTTGATGGGGTTTGGGGCTAAACCCTGACCCCTAAACCCTAAACCCCTAAACCCTCAGCCGCTAAACACCAAACCCCAAACTAGTCCTTTGAGCAGGCACAAGGCCCGAAGGCTGACACCGTCCGATCCAGAAACCCTGAGCCCCATACCCTGGCAGTGGCGGGGCAAAGAAGCTACACGGTGCAAGCCCTGCATGTGATGTAAGTTCCTGGAACAGAAGAAACCGCGGAAGCCAAGCCCAGCTGGGAGAATGGCTGTTGACCGCATGACGGGCCAAACTGCTGCCAAGACAGAGGCAGGAACCTCGGAATTTCGACAGTCCACAGGTTCTGCAAGGTTTGAAACTTGGGGTTCAGAGCCCTCACAGACTCAGACTGACTTGGACGTGAACTCAAAAAGGCAGTAATTGAGCTGGCCTGCATGTTTTCGATGAGAGTGAGCTGGTGACGCTTAGTTGGCGCAAGGACGTACACTCCTTTGGAGCGGCCACCCCATGTGCATCCCTGCTCGGCACTGCCCTCCTTTTGCGCTTGGGACGGAGTTCGATATTGTCAAGCTTGGGGCTTAGGCTTCACACGGATGCACAGGGCCTGGCATGAAACTGTGCACATGAGAACAAAGCGCTCACAGTGCCATGTGGCAAGATGGTATGGCACCGTGAGGCGCATCTCTTCGAAACTCCGGTGGCTGTTCCAGAAAGATAATTAAGTTCCACACTCATCCGTGTCTCTTTTGTTGTCATAGTCTGCGACTCTATATACTCGGGCTGTGCAACTGTTCAGTGCTAGTGCTGCTAGTATTCTCGCCTGCCCGAATGCTAAGTGCGGACGTTTGGCTGGAGAATTTCCCAGCCTTCGCCTGTTTGACAGGCGGGCTAATGTCTGACATTTGTTTCACAAACGTCATCTCGGCATGCTGACAGTTGCAAAGGGACTGCTGACAATCTACACCGCTATTCTGAAGTATGCCCTCCCCATAGCATGTCCTGCTTAAATTAAAGGGAATTGGGTGCGAGAGGCTACCTGAACATAGCTTTACCAATATTTTCTGCCAGCAGCTGCAGACATCCAGCCTGCGCCAGTAGAGGACGTGTTAGCGCACACGACCACACAGATTCACACATTTTACGACAGTTCCTGAAGGCCTGCCATTCTTGGTTGGCACGCCGCGGCCGCCAGCTCAGTGCGAAACAAATGAAGCTGCTGGGGCTCTTGAAAAACACGACACTATAGTGCCTGTAGTGCTCGTGAGGGTCATTCGCCGGCCGGGCGATCAATGGTCAAACGCCAAATTGGGTCCAACCACCAAGGGCAGACTTGATCGGAACCTTTGGGCGTTAGCTCTGGACTTCGAAAACAAAGGAGCTGTTGTCCACAAGCTCAGTGGGGCAAGGGGGCCCGGGGGTCTTCGCCGGGTCAGGTGCCATCGCCACCCAACATCTTCGCCTGAGTGTGGCACAAGCCAAGCAGATAAAGAGCAAGACACACATCAAATTCTGGGATCTATTTCAGGATGTGAGAGGCGAGGATGAAGTTTCAAAAGATTGAGCCTTCGTATACAGGGTGCAGCAGCACAAGGAGCGTCTAACTCTGATTGAAAGGTTAACCGAGAACAGAAAGCTCCAAATATTCATGCAGCACGTGCTTGCTTGCATTTTTTGCCTCCCGCCTGGCTAGGACGAACCTACGATGCAGGGTACACTCATGGCAACTCGATCAAGACTTGCATTGGGAGTCTAGGTTTGGAGTACTTACTTACATATCTTAGGTACACCTTCTACCTCCGCTGAATGGTCCAACGGACTTGCCAAGATGACAAGATTTTCTGGAAGGAACTCGAATCAACCACAGTTGCAGCAGTCATGTTGATTCATGCCGAACGGGCTTGCTGATCTCACCACCGCTTGGTTAACATGATGGTAACATGAGTAATGCACATTATTTCAATAGCTACGCTGCTGGTCATGTGCGTTGTCCTCACATTCATCATGATGGTGATGTGCTCAGCACTGGATCACCCCTTTCGATTTTCTCCAAAACTAACTTTCAGTCAAGGTACATGCTCTTCGTCGTCCATTTCCGCCATGATTCTCGCCAGCATCAAAAGAGATTCCCGAATCCTGCCATGATTCGGGAGGTGGAGGGCTGCAGCGAGTCAGTTTTTCCTGTTTGGGGTACAGCACAGCCTCAAATGCACAACAACCTGAGAGAACAGCACAAAGAAAGTGGGTCACTGTTGTCTGCAACTTAGACTCTGCTCCTCAAGCATCCAAGCATGACCAAGTAAACTAAGCGCACTCCCATGTAACCCATGCATCTTAAAGTGTCAGAACATCTCCGTGATGTTAATTCAGCTCTCATGTCATTCCCCAAGCCATCTGCCTCTTCCAGCGTGCTTTGACCACTTTGCGAACCTGGCAGGCCGGGCAAACTCGCTGGACCCTCCGGATGATGACGGGGAATTGTGACTTATGCAACAAATCCCAACACGGAACTAAATCTCTGCGTTCGAGTACATCGGGCTCACAATCAACGTCGAATTTAAACCAGTAGGCAGGCTACTCGGCACAATGCCACCCGCTGTGGTTGTACTGGCGGCGGTGATATGTCAATTATAACAAGATGCCAAGAAGAAATGCTCGGCAGGCATAGCTAACCTTGCTTGGGGCCGCAAAGACAAAAGCCGAAAGGCCCCAATACACCAAACGAGTAGTATAGGCCACAATCCAGGTGACAGGGATCGAGGATCGGCAGCCAAAAGCACGTGCCTCCTCCCGTGCGAAATCTGCCATCTCTTCGCCCGTGAAGTCCTGCTTGAAGTCGACAGTTAAGGGCTTCGGTCCGGGAGGGATTAGGGGTCAGGTGAGCCCTAAAACGAAATCCCAATGTACGGGAACTCGCAAAACCGCGGTAACTGTGTGTAGGGTTTGTTTGCCATCTGAAGCACCGCAAGGGGCACGTGTCTGCATGGCTTACGGCGTTGGTTTTTGCTGCACGCTGCTGTTGCGTAACCCTTGACCCTGGGAGAGAAGGAAAAATGACTATGATGCCATTACGGGCGGCTTTGTTGAGTCTTCCATAGTCCTTGTGTCCTGAATGCGGGTGTTTCGACATGCGTCTAATTTAGTATACTTATGGCAGAACGATAGCTGTTTGGGCAGCAGCATCTTGCTTGGTACCCTTGCCTTGCTCCGCATGCTCATCTGCTGGCGGCATTGCCAGACCCTAACGACGATCATGGGTCGTTGCGAACAAATCCAACCAGAACACCAGCAGCTATCTTTATCTCCTTCCTGCTTCTTTCATTTTTTCCTCCTTCCGCCTGCATCAGCCATGTCGCAAACACCACCCTCACCGTCGTCCTCCCTTCGCCAGCAGCTTCAACATGAACCCAGGCATCATCACTGTCAGGAGTCAGGAACATCACCACAATCATCGTAAATTACTGGACGCCTCTTGGCCACAGATTCTCGGCAGGTCCTGCAAGTTGGCGACGGTCGAGCCGGCCCGCCTTAGCAAAGTGATACACGCTGCCTAACGTGAACGCCGTTTTCCAGTAGTGTAGAACCAACTCAAGCCCCGAACTCTTTTTGGCCTTTCACTATGTCAGTAAGGCAGATACGAAATAGCGTCCGGATGAGGACCGTAAAGCATACTCGCTACTAGGCTACGCGATGCCAACACATCCGGGACAGCCAGAATATCCCTGACCTTGGTCGACGATTGCCACACCGAGGGTGCGACTTCATGGCCGACGCGGAGAAGCCTTGGCGAGCTGGAAATCGTCTACCGGCTGTCCGTTGGTCCCGTTCTTATGGCGGAAGAAGTAGTTTAATGCGATTTCCACAGCTTGACCACTCACCCTTACCTGACCTTGAACACTGAATCAAATTGAAATCCCAGCCGTGGGACCATCTGGGAACTCCAGGTGAATTTCATCAATTCGCTTGAATGCCTGTGCGTGCGGTGCCGTGGTGTCGTGACCACGGACTGCTGTGCTGTGTGTAGGCATATGGCGAGATGGGGTTGTACACGGCTTTTGAGTCTCGGGTGTTTCTTACTTTGCACAATGCCAAGCCGTAGACGCAAAGGCTTGGCTTTGGGCAGCCGAACGGACTCTGTCAACTCGGAGGAGTATCGTGATCTTGCAGTAACAATTGCCGCCACGATGACACATCGTGATGAGCTCCAAGTACTGGTATACGCAGTCACGGTATAGACGGTATAGTCGTTCTGAGGATCGTTCTTGCCCCTGCTCTAAACCCTACAAGACCTAAGCTGAAACACCAAGCCCTCAAGCAGCAAGAACCTATACCCTATCCTCCATTGTTATTGGTCGTTCCAAGGAGATGTGTCTGGACCAAACAAATTCCGACTGCTGCAAACCGAACTTTCATTTAAAGGAGCTTGGTGGTTTTGCATAGGGTTTACATAGTTCTGCAGGATTCTACAGTACATAGTTCCACGCTTACTTTAGATGTGGTTGTGGAACCTGACTGGTTCGTGCAACACACCACACAGACACGACTGTGATTATGATGGCTATGACGATGGGGAACACGACACCTTGCTATTGTACGGCCCCGTCATCATAGTAAGGGATACGAAGATTATCCTGACATTCATTGAAGCTTCCGTGTGTATTCTTGCCACCTGCTCGGCAGGATTGTCATGTTGGTACGTGCCAGGTGGGGGCTGCAGAGGTTGAAGATGTGAGTCGATATGATCGAGGCTCCTGACCGCCTTTGCTTGATGGTGGAATCTTGGGCCTCTTGGAAGCTCAATGGTGCGACAAACGTGGGACTGTGTTGCCGGACGGGTGGTGAGCGAGTTTGAGATGCCCGGTGGCAGCTGTGATAAAGGGCCCTTTGTGTTTCTGGAGAATCTGGAGGCCTGATTTCAAGCTGAAGACAATCGTACTTGTCGCCACAAGGACCCTGGAAATCGAACTCCGAAGGCCTCTTGCGAACCAGCCCGCTCGAAGCATCCGATTATAAACATATTGATCATATTGCATCTAACCCAGGACTTCTCTTGGAACTGCATCCGTGCCTCCTCCGAAAACCATCCTGTGCGAAACACGTCGTGCGCATGGGGCAAGCTTGACCCGGAGCCTTCTAGGTACTAAAACCTCAAACATCCGTTGGCAATCGTAATTGCAGCTGACACGAAGGTCTACTGCCCCTACTAAATTCAGCACCATGTTCAAGAAGATGTTCGAAAGACGAACAACGACTCAGTCAACCTGCTCTTCCGGGGCAATTTGGATCCCAAGATGTCATCTCTGTACGACAAAAGGGAGGCTCGCAATGCACAATCGCAGGGTGGCATTGTTACTAGCACGATTCTCACACCCTGGGCTCATGCAACATGCCAATCAGTCTTGCCGGCACTAACCGTAGCTTGATGTATCTTGTCCACTGAAGGCTGGCACTTGTCCGTCTAGGAGGTTTTGATCTTTGGCATAAGCCGCGCCCAGCATCCAGACTCAAACAACGCATGCCTTGGAGATTTTGGACGATCTGGGGGTCTTGTCTCTTGCGAAGAGTGTCCAGCACCTGGCCGCAGCTCCAAGAAGAATGTATATCAGAAACCATGCAGACACCAACAAGATGGAAATGCCCCACAAACAAATCATCACCGACGGAAGACGCAGGTGGAACCAGAAACAGGGACAGTCAGAATCTCGGAAATCTCGGAACCGACTCAGCAGACAGCTCTGACCCCATCCAGATGGTAAGCATCGCGTATAGAAATATCTCAAGTTCTAGACTCGATTTCAACCGGAGAGCTGTTCACCGCAAATTTTCTGCTTTTGGAGGTGTTCCCCAAATACGGGGAGGAGTAAGTCTGCACACGCATCACGCGCCTTCTGATCTAAACGATGGGTGTGCAGCATACCGTACATAAATCTGTCCCAACAGGTCTGCATCGTGCACATGTCTATGCGCTAGTCACCACTAGTCACGTCTGAGAGATAGAGACCAGACCTGGGACAGGTGAAGCGGGAGAGAGCGACAGAGAAAGGGACAAAACGCGAGGCACAGAGAGACACAGACAGACAAACAGACAGACAGAGCGAGAGAGAGAGAGAGAGAGAGAGAGAGAGAGGAAGAGAAAGGGAGAAACGCCAGCGACAAAGGGAGCGCACAAACTGAATGAACCTGCTACAAGTACGTCCGCCTAGCCGAGACTGTGAATCATATCCTGGTATGTCTCATGACACAACCCAACGGGCCTGGCTACTCAACTACTCCAGAACCCCCCGTTGCCAAGGCCTCGTACCAGCCCTGGTCGCGAATCTGAGTGCAAGCAAGGGAGTTGTCAGCGCTCTTGGTTTGCCACTTCAGCAAATGGGCCTACTTGGACACTCCTTAGCTGAGACTCTCAGCCCAATTGCAGCAAGGAGACTGGCCAGACCGGATTCAGCGGAAAACAATAGCCCTCATCGGCACGCTCCTGGAAGGATAGCGGCTTGGGACAAGCCCCCTACAAGGATGCAGAGTGTGGTGGCCCGGGCTTATAACCTTTCTTCGTCTCAGTTCGTTTAGGTCTGCCACAAACTTCGCAATTACCCAAGGGGGATAAATTTCAGAACGGTACCTTGTTATGCTGACCCCATAAGCAAAAAGCTTGAAGCACTAAAGTTTCTGCTGAAGCAACTTGAAGAATTGTCCGCGAGGTTCAAGGAGTTCGACACTGTTTCTCTTATGGGAGTGTCCAGAAGTAGGACCAAAAGAGTAATCTTGAGCAGGGTAAGCTTGAGTTGCAACATGCCTTTGCTGTGCCTGGCTGTCTTCGGGGACTGTCATGGAATTTTAAAACTAGTTTGCTGACAGGGCAAAGGCTACAGGACATCGCAAACTACTTTTCCATCCGGGCTTGAGCACTTGCCGGAAGCCCTTCATCAGGCTTAACCGTAAAGCCTTAAAACCGCAAAGTTTGCTAACTGGTTTTCTGGTTGGGGCTTCCATGTTCCAGAAGAGCAAAAGCCCGGTCCATCAGGAACTTCCTCAGCTCAGCCTGCCGACAAGGATAGGAGAGTCTTTAGAGCTTGTGGGGCTCAGTAGTGTCCAACTTTAGAGTTCTGGAGCTTCAGGTTTGCAAACAACTTTGGTCGACGTCCACAACTGCAGGCATTTGTCTAAGCATGAAGCAGGCGAAAAGCCCAAGCACTGCTACATAGCCTATGAGATTATCTTTCCTACATCTTGCAGTAAATCTAAGCATTCGTATGCAAAGAGATGCATGGAAGCAAGCAAAAACAGCTGCAAAACTCCGACCCACATGAACCCGGAAACCAAAACCCTAAACCCTCAGCCCTGTAAAACTTCTCTACAGCAGCCCGGCCTCTTTCAGCGGTCGCCAAGGCGGATCCTGCGTAGGAGGTTGCCAGGATCATGAGGGGCTTTGGAGCTATCTTTCGGTTCGCACCGTTTGGTTTTTGGTTTTTTTGAGCGCAGAGGAAGTTGGACTCTTGCAATGTTTTGAAAATTTCAACCGCTTGAAAACCCCATGACACTATCATTGCAGCTTGGATCGTCAACGGTTTCTCGTACCGGACGGAGGTCTGCACTGCAGGTGTTTGTCGCCAGGCAGCCATGCCACAGTCTCATTCGCTTTGCCGTGCCAGAAACAAACTCGCAACAAGAAGATGCGTGCACCGGCATTGCTCTCTGGTCTCTGGCCTCTAGACAACTAAGCCGAATGATCGCGGATGGCTCTCATGCATTTCTCTCGACCGCTACATGAACTCCCTCCGGTGCATGCAGTGTTGTTCCAGTAATCCTGCGCCGGTCTACTCGCCCCATTTATGAAAGAATCTCAGCTCCTGATAGCCGTCCCAGATGACCAGGAACTCATCATCCAGCTCCTTGCAGACAGACAGAATGCAGCTGCGGCCGGGGATGCAACAAAACGACTTATTGAATAAATCCTTGCTCAGTCCTTGCTTGCGGCAGATAGAGAAACTATCAGAATCGACTTTCAGACTTCGACTCTGTGTCAACCTACTGCGGCCCGCTTTTGCACGCCTGAGCATGCATGACATACCCTGCATACAGGGATTTCATGGGTTCGATCGTGCACTATGCGCTGGCTCGAGACGGCGGTGTTCAGAGATTCTTGAGGCCGGCGATGGTGATGTACACCAGGAGTCGACAGCCGTTACTGACAGAGACTAGAATCTAGAAGGACTAGAGGTTGTCGTGCTGTTGCCGAGGAGGCATTCGACAGTCTGGCTTTATAGGAACCCTCTTTCACCAAGGTCACCATCTTCAGACCCTTGAGCAGATCCCAAACCACACCGAGAAGCAGAATCGGGGCAATCATCGCGAGACTTGAACACTGTCAATGAGTCAAGCTCTCGAAAAGCCCCTGAACACTCGAAGCTCTCCCCATTCTTCCACGAAGAAAGGAGCTCTACCCGCTCAGGAGATCCTGCGGGAAGTAGAAATTGAAGCACTCCGCACCATGTCGGATGGCTCCACATGAGGCCGTCACTTTCACCACCTTTAGGAATGGACAAGTTGAGGCTTTGCGTGAAGTACGAGCTTTCTAGGGAGCTTGGGTGACCGGTCCATGAAGCTGTCTGGAAGCCTTCCCATCTCCAAATAGGATCGGACACCCACCCCTCGACTGAACTATACTTCCTGCTTGTGAGTATTCGGAGCCGTGATTTCTCGGTCGGGCTTAGCTACAACGACGACAAAATCAGCGTCGTAGCAAGAACTTGGAAGTGTCCATCCATCCAGCTACTGGACCCATTGTCTGCATGCCCCGCATAGATCCGAAGAACACACAAGCACTCAATCCAGCCTGTCCCTCAGCAGCTTTAAGTACGCAGAGGTCCGAGATGGTTCAATTCTCCGAAGTCATAAGTAGGGCTTGGGCCAGGACGAGGCATCGCTACTGAGTGCAGCCGGGGTGCATCGCCGATGAGCCGAACAGAGGTGTCGTCACCAAAACCCAACTTTGGAATTTCCGGGTGAAAACCTCACGGTGTTGCAGCAGGAGTCAGCATGAGGTTCATGTCTTCATGCTGTGGCAACTGAAGCAATCTCTCGGAGCGGGCAGCAGAACACATTAGGTGGACATGCCAACATGTGTACAACGGCATGGCGGCCTTTCTTTCTGGCTTCTTCTTTCAAGACCTGGCAGAAGGGATGTGGTAAGGGCAAAAATCGGCAGGACATGCTTCAGGAGCGTTATCTGCAAACGCCGTCGTAGCTGCTTCGGTCGGCGCGCTTGCATGCACAGCAAGCATTGACACTGGCGAGCAGTTATTTCCCTGGCTGGCTGGGTAGCTCGCTGGTAAGCTCCTAAGCCTGTTCCAGTATGCTGATGTGATCGGACACGGTGTTTTCCTTCGATATCTTTGTCATCCAGCTAGTGAGATGGCCGAGATAGCCCAACAGATATAGGTATTGGTTCATTCACGGTGCCATGCGAAAGTCGGCTTGCCAGGCCTTACTTTGCCAGCCAGTTGATTCTAGTCGGGCATTTTCTACATTACATCACCCGAACTTCCCCCAAAACCGTAAAGCAGCGCAGCATCTTTGGGGAAGTCGCCTCCAGCCACCGTGACGTCCAGCCCTTCGAGGCTGGGAGTCCGATAATATCCGCCGTGTGCTCCAGGCACCACTGGAACATCTCCTGCGACCCAATGCACAATGGAAACGAGACAGGCAAGAGTAGCGAGAATGACGCGATCCATTGTGATAAGACGCGTTCACATGCATAAGACGTGTTAGGACTCATCAGGACATTGGGCAGGAAACCAACAATGGCCCTGGGTTGTGGTCTTTCTCGGTAGAGATAGGACGCAACGCAACAAGCAAAGGCAAACTGCAGATGTCAGACGTGGGATTTACCTTAGGTGGGATGTAGAGCAGCTTGGGATGAACCTGAAACCATCAACCGATGTGGCCTAGGTTGACAGAAGACAATGCATCGCTCGGCGAGCTCCCGAACTTTTTTGGCTTCGAATGGGTAGAACAGAACTCAAACGGTGGCATAGCTTCACTATAACCGCGAAAGCCAGCCCAGCATCAAACACTACCTGTGCGAGACTGGTCGCTGGAGGTACTCATTGTAGCTATTGCTGAAGCTGACCTTAACAAGGATGAATGCGCAAAGCGCCCTTCCTGCTGCTTCGGCGGCAAGGGATCATAGGCTACATTGGTGCTGCCAACCAGGAATGTGTCGAAGTCGCTGACGACCTCAAAGCAAGGTATGTCAACGAAATCCGAACCGTGGAAGATGCAGCTCGAAGGGGCTCCGTGGGCTGTTCATGTCCTTTTCGGCCACTAAGAGTTGCAGAACCTGGGCCTCCCTGCCGGTAGCACATGCGCTTCCGCATAGGCCACAAGCAGCCCCAACGGGTTCATCGGGTCCGCAAGGTCGTACTGGTAAAGCACGACTTCCTGCAGGCGAGAACGCAGTCGTTCGAAGCTACGGTCCCTGATGACGAGCTTTTTCAAGGACACTCGACTTGGAATTTCCTCAGAAGCAAGGCCTGAGAAAAACGGTGCCAAGCTGGGGCGTCAATCGAAATCCACCAGTGTTTGCCAAGAGTCTGGGCTGGTATCTCCGCGCACTGCATGCAAATTCATATCCTCGCTTGAGCTTTGCAAAGGCAACTTGTTTCCAGAATGCGGAAGTCGGCACACACTGAACGGCTTGACGCACGTTCAGCGGAGACTACCTCTCAATGCTGGGAACTGTCACAGTACAACTTACCACTGTGCTTCAGGAACTGCTGGAACATGTTGCAATCTGCTGCACGAGAACAGCACGCCACATTCGGTTGCAGCCAAAGTGCCATAAACGCAGGCTCAGATTGCCTGCCGGTCTCCCAGCCTGATACACAGTGCCAAATCACGTGCTATATGGTCACGCACAGAAGTGCGTAAACATGCACGCTGCGCTTCCGCAGAAGCACATAATGCCCTACAACTTCGGCTGCTGCTTTCCGGACCCACGATCGCACGAATCCAGTCAGACTCGGGGCCTACCATGGGCGACAGATCGGGCTTCATGATGTAAGCCTGCGATCACATCAAGCAGCGAAGCAAAACTATACTTCGTGCCACTACAAGTTAAAGCACAAGCTCAGCAGATCAAGAATCTATGCAGTCCGGGCAAGACTTTGGGCAAACCTTCAATTGTGAGAGCTGGCGGCTAGCAACCCAAGTTCTCGCTCACGCACAACAACTTGCCATGCCCGGAAACAGAGTTGACCCTAGAGCCACAAGCCCAATAACGCTATCGTCGTAAACCACGACCCGCAAAGGCACCCAAAGTGAGCAACTTGCTCACAGTCTCATACGGTATGTCGTGTTTCATCCGCAGCTGGCCTCCCTCATTAAAGGTTCGGGCACCTGGGCTGATCAAACACGGGAACGCGCAGCTTCAGCAAATGGAATGCTGTACCGACAACGGTGTTTCGGGGGCCTTCCGTTCACTCGCATCTTGGGGTCGCATCCGGCCCGCGGCCGGGCCCATAAATACGAGCTATAAACACTCCAGTAATTACGCAATTAAGTAGCAGAGATTGGACCAGAGAAAACTACCACGGAACGAGTCTTGAATCGCTACACGTACTGAAGAAAAGCGCCTTCGCTTTGAGCTCCGACGAGCACCCCAAGCCACAAGCCCGGCGAACCGAGGACTCTGAACGTAAACCAGGTCGCAGGACACTCCTGTTAACTGCTATTTCTCTGATGACGCATGCCGCTCCAACAATCAGTCGTATGACCGCAAACTGCCAGTACGACTATGCTATGGGTGTTACCTAATGCTTTCCCTGAGTAACTTCATGTTCTGACTGTTCGAGCTTCGTGTTCCTGCTCGTCGCGGAATATCCCTCGCATTCGCTTTGAATTGAAGGCCAGTGCTTCGCTCTCGGGGCCCGGACATCGAGCCCGAATGTAATCGGCTCCTTGGATGACTTTGCGTTTTTTCTGTTGAAAGGTTAGTTGGTAGGTTTGTAATGGGGTTGAGCTCGGTTTCGGGCTGGCCTCCTGCATTGCCTTGCTCAAGTAACTAGGAAGGAGGGTACGAACCCTGATCACCCCTGAACCCTGCAGTGGGGGACAGGGTCCTGTTGCTCCATGTGTAGCTAAAGATGTCTGCCAAACCCACAAGCCCTGTCAACTGAGCAAGAGCTCGAAACGCCGAAAACAACGCCTTGCCAACCCGCCGAAGAAACGAAACTCACGCAAAAGTGCAAACGTCCCTGCGACAATATCATCATTGACCAGGCTTCGTAGTCTGTGATGACCTTGATGTTCGGATCATCCATTCTCAGAAGCTTGGCCTCCAGGAGAAGAAGTCATGACCACGGTGATGGTTACAGAAGTACTGACCCTGGCGACGTCTTGCTCTTGCAGACCCGTGTGCTGTATGATGCGGGGTTAGCTTATTTTGTAATGAGCTCGTGATGGACAAGAGGGCAATAAAGACTTGGCAGATGCAATTCAATAGCATGCAATCTTCACGAAGCCATGACCTGATCCAGCTCCGACTTGGTCGCATGTACCAGTTGTAGCTATCTTTAAACCAAGTTGAGTTTACAGGAAATTTGTTTTCAAGTGGAGCGGCGCCAGTAACTACTGAGGCTCCCCTCTGCACGCGGTAGCATGCCCGCCTCCTTGATGACCTTCGTCAGGGAGCCATATGCCTGCTCACGGGCTGCCTTGCTCCTGGGCAGAAACCACGAGATCAAGCCTCCACAAGGGCACGCTTGAGAAGAATTGTTTGAGGGTCTTGGCGAGTTTTCCTATGATTATCAGAGAAAGCAGTATCACGGCTAAGTCTTGATGCTCCTGTTCTCGGCTACTAGGCTGCTCCGCTTGAGTCTGCGCTGGCAACCGATTTAGAGCTTGAGATGCTCGCGTCGGTCAGCTGCACTGAAGATACAGTACTGTACAAGGCAAGGAGGCGAGAGTGACTGCGAGGAGCCGAGATTTTCGGGACACCCTTCCAAACCGAAGCTAGCTTTTAGTTGCTGATCACGACCCCCTCCTGTAGAAGATCTTGGTTCGCGTATCTTTCGGAGACTCCTGTCATGCCGAATGCAGTCACAATACAATGCAAAGTTACATGAATCAGCCCACTGTGCTGTGCATCCACAGCAGCATCAACCCAACCAGCCTCCACATCCCATTTGTGCCTATTGTCGCCTGGGCAACAAGCAGAGATGCACACAAGATCTGACAGCGCGGCATACACTCGGAATAAGCGAATCTCAGCGCAGAACTGATCTGAATGAACGGCACGAAGCCAGATAACCGATTCTTCTTGGCGGACCTAAGCGTGTTGCCAACAATTACGAGCACTCTGTCATGGCTGAAGTCCTTCATCTACGCTGCTGCTCGTCTCATCGATTCCACGGCCGTGCATGAATTAGCATCCGTGTCGCAATGTAGTTACTCCAAGAAAGTGGCATTTGTGACATGCTCTCTCAATCGCTTCTTGTCAAGAGCTTAGACCTCTCAAAAACTGCGAGGCCAGACTACGAGCAAACTCAAACGCCAGGCGCCGCACTTGCCTTTCACGTTCAAGCCCTTCCCCACGCCCACCTCAACAGATTTGGGTTGCCGTGTTCCGAAGGCCAATTTACCCTTCCCTGCCTTGCCAAGCATTTTGGCGATGGAATCGCGGCTGCAGGGTCTATAAACCACGAACCACCTGGCAGCGCACTACTTTTGCTGTCACAGTTGATTATCATTCTTGTCATGATTCTATACCCGGTGTTGTCGCTGTGACGCTTAATGATGGCAAAAGTAGTTGCTCTTTGACGGTGCTCTCCTTCATTACTTGCAAAAAGGTTTGGGGAACCAAAGCCCCTGGCCCGAAGGATCTTTCTTTCCCCAGGCTTGAGGGCGTGCCCCCGCGGGAGCAGCCCGACTGTTGGAGGTTTGCACGGTTGTACGTGCGAAAAGTTTCGAGCACTTCGCGGGCTGAGCGTATTCCTGACTATGCAGTGACCTCCCCGTGTTCTGCCATTAATTACACTCCTAGTTGTGCTCACGCCCCGCTGCCTGTCAGTGCACTGCAGTTGTTCTGCAAGGGTTGTGTTCTTCACCCCTTGTGTTTGCCTGACAGATGTTTGCAGCTGCGAAGGCTTCTACTCACGAGAGCGGGCTTTGAGCTTCAGGGTACGGGTCACACTTCCCTATAGGCATCATAATGAGCATGGGGTACTGCCTCGCCCGAAGGATCTCTCTCTCTCTCTCTCACTCTGTTCCGGGTAGGAAGCAGGGGCAGCGTTCATCTCTCTCTCTCTCTCTCTCTCTCTCTCTCTCTCCCAGGCACAGGGGTTGGTCAAGACCCCAAGGGAATCAAAGCCCATCCGCCCATGCTTTTTTTCTCTCTTGCTTGCTTGCTTGCGAAGGGGTATTTTTTTTTCTCTCTCTCTCTCTCTCTCTCCCGGGCATGGGGACGGGTCAACGCCCCCGGGCAGCATGCCCACCCGTCGTGTTGACGGACACGGGGGGTGAAAAAGAACAGTGAACATTGTAAAAGGCTATAGCCATAAAGTATACGATGTCGATTTACAATGTCCCCCTGTTCATTCAAGACACACAGCACATGCCGAATCCCCCGAACATATAAGAGGCAAAAATATGTATTCCATACAAGAGGTATTTCTGGGGATTGTATTGACGGTGCATCAACCTAAAGTGCATTTTTCATTTTATGGCAGACAAGGGGATTGTATTGCGAGAAACAATGGCACAGCTATCCCTACGGGCCTTACAGGCGATACCTGAGTTCTGACAGAGTTTCCCCTTCGTGTCTACCATAGCTTGAAACACATCACAGTTCTCCTGGCCGCATATGGCAGGATAGCTTGGCAACCAATGACATACAGGATCAAAAGACTAAGGGCCGGACAATCACTCTCTTTGGTAATCTTCCCCCGTATGGAAAAACAGTGCAGAGGAATGCAACAAGTATATTTAATCACAACTGCGAGGAGGAAGATACCCCCGGAGTGATTACTTCCATATACCCTACAAATATTGGTCAAGGCCAAGGAGAATGTGTATAACCCGCTCAGCGAGATGGTGGACAGTTTCCCCCAAAGATTTCAATCACATGCCATACAAGCAAAACCGCATAGCATGAAAAGTGACTCTAGAAGATCGTTCGGGGTTCTGTCCAAAGTTTGCGCGGAGGATTATCGTGGTGCAAGATCGGATCATTACTCTCGTAGGCAAAGAAAGGCTATAGGGGACCTAACATTGCAGAGTGTACAGGATCCTAGGGGGTCAAGGCGAGAAATGTACAGTGAGATCCAATCTGTATCCCCCGTCATCGCAATGACAAAGCAACAGCTTGTGGCAGCACTACAGGCACAAAGTAGTGGCAGCGGCAGTTGGCAAGGTTTCCGGAAATTAGGTTCAGCATGGCAGCAGCTTGTGGCTAGGCGGATACTGCCAGGCCCCTTTTTTTTTTTGTTCTTTACGCAGGATGGAAACAGGAGAGGACAACAGCTTGTTAAAGGACAGTATGCAAGTATTAGAAATGTATTTGGGCCCGACTCATGAGCTTCGTTCCCCCGTGCTGGTACGGGGCCCCGAAGCGGAAATAGAGAGAGCCGCCGTGATAATCGGCTTCTTGTTTTAAATCCCCCGCTCACCAGCTCAGATCGGCCCATGTCGATCGTAAAAGACGCTCTTCAGTCTTCGTCGCCGGTGATCTGGTGGGCTCGCATCACTGTCGCTGGGGAAGTCCTCAGTTGGACTGGGGGGCCTTCTGTTCCCCCCAGAAGGAGCGTTTCCCAGGCCATGGTGACGATCGTATAGCCACCATGGCTCTCCCCCGGAAGACGACATGGGGACGTGGGCCATCATTTGTGCATGTAGATCTCGTTCGTCACCGTCACGTTCCCCCTGATCGTGAAGGTCAGGCAGTGCCGGTGGTTCAGGTTCTGCAGGTTGTAGAGCATCTTCCACCGCTTCCAAGGTATCCAAGAGGGCGCGGTGGATCGTGTTGAGTTCTCCCCCGGGCCACTCGTGCAGTTGCCCTCGGAGTTCGTTGAGCTCCATTGCCATCCCCCGCGCTCGCCGTTCACGTCTCTCGCGGGCGAGGTTGGAGGTGACGATCCCACGGCTTTCTGCTATAACATCAGCAGGATGCCCAATGGGTTCCCCCTTTTCCACAGCAGCCAAGTATCCGACGACGTCGACGAGGAGCAACCAACTGTCGCGGTTGTTGGGGTCCCCCTGTATGCTCTGCAACGCTGCGCCCATCTGCCCAAGGATGGTCCCGGTGTTGAACATCCCTTGCTCGTAGGCCAGGTTTGCAGCTGGCATCCCCCATTGCTGGGGGTTTCCATCGACGGCAGTGGCCATGGCATGCATGTGAGAGTTCAGCCATGCTAGAACTATATCCACGTCATGCTGCAAGTCGTAGTATGTGATGTAGTTGTGGTGGGTGTCTGCTTGTAGTCGTCGCAGGCTTTTGGTGCGGATGCGTTGTAGTGCTTCTTGGGTGGCTGTCCTCCTCTGCTCAACTTTGACCCGCTTGGCCTCAGGCTCCTCAGTGCTGTTGAGGAAGGGCGCGGTCTCCAGCTCAAGGTGGCGGAGGACTTCAGCTTCTGTTTGGTCGTCTACTAGCAAGTCAGCTAGGGCACACTGGGCCAAATGTGCCACTATGTTCCCCCCTGGGAGCTGGTTTGACAGGCTATAGATGCGTGTGAGGTAGTGCTCGATTCGCTCTGCACTGGTTGCGAAGGCCGGTGTAGGCTCCGTGGCTCGGTTTTGTGGAATGGGTGGTAGCATCTGTGGTGGTTCCGCTGAGCTGTCGGGAATTGTCTCCGGTGCGCCATCACCAGAAGGTAGTGGTTGTGGTGGTGCTGGCTCTGGGTTTGTCGTGGAGGCCGGTGCAATCCCCCCCCGTTGTAGGGCTTGTTGGATGTGCTGCATAAGGTTGGTCACATCATCGGGCTCTCGCTGGTTGTGGTGGTGGGTAGTGCCAGTGGCGGTCGTGGTAGCTTCGTCAGTGGTTGTTGTGGTAGTTGTAGTTGTTGGGGCCTCCCCTGGCCAGGAGATGGTTGTGGTGAAAGGTGGGTCGTTGAAGGTCGTGGTGGTTGTGGAGGTAGTGGTGCTCTTCTTTTTCCCCCCGATGTCACGGCCGTCGCGGATTTGGGAAAGGAGGTCCACCGGTTTGGTGGGCTTTGGAGGGGCCTCGCGATCACGCGAAGGGGCCTGTCCCTCTCTGCCACGGTTACCTCTCAGATCGCGCGTGTCCACAAAGGCGCTGTACTCTCCAGGGCTCTGTGGTGGTTGTGGTGGTGGTGGTTTGGCACGTCCGTCTTGCTCGTCTGGTGTTTTGCGAGCACCGGTTGTATCTTGTTTTGGCTTTTTCCGTCGCTCTCTTGCCGGTGGGTCTGTGACATTGGCTGCAAAGTGCACATGTCGTGGCTTTGTGTTTGGGAGTGTTCCCCCGTGGCTAGTGGTGTCGGCCGAGCTGGAGGCTTGGCTACTGGAAGGCTGTGGCTCATCCCCGGTGTCAGCTGTGGCTTGGCGTGTGTCCGGTGGAGACTGCTTGTGCTGCTCCCCCTGCTGCGGCTGCTTTGTCTTTGTGGGGTTGGTGTTGGTTTCCCCCCGTCGGTACTCCCGAGCGGCCGACTCGGCTTGCTTGTCTACTGTCATCTTCCAGCCATTGTCGGTTAATTGGAGGATGAAGGAATCCCCCGCGACCACAAACATGCTCTGTGGCCAGAAGTCGTCTAGTGGAGGCGTGGAAGTGACTTGAAAAAGCCATGTGTCAGGTGGTCCCATTGGCGCCAAACGACCTCGCAGGCCGACTGTGAAGGGAGGTGCTGTGAGGACTGGGCCGCTCTGGCCCGTGTGGGTGATCTGGAGTGGCGGCAGGCCTGCTGAGGCTGTGAGTGCAGTGGGTATGTAGTGTGTTGCTGTGATGTGGATGTCCCAACACCCCGCTGTTAGGGGTAGATACTGCACTGTCGTGCCCTCTGCATGTGGTATGCTGGGAGGAATGTCAAGGTCGTGGGAGTCTGGTCCCTCCGGTGCGTTGTCGTACTGCCATTGCTCCTCTGGAGTAGGTATGTATTTGCGGGTTGCTGTGTGCTGGGCTTGCTTTTCTGCTTCGCTGCTGTCGCGGTGGGTGTCCGTGGAGCTGGAACTGGCTGTGCTCGGTGGAGGGTCTTGCTGTCCCCCTTTGTGTTCGTCCTGTTTGGAGTGGCGAGTTCTGCCGAGGAACTTATCCATGGCCTCCTGGAACTGTTGTTCCGCTGCTGAATCCTTTTTGGTCCCCCGCGTGGAGGTTGCCTGTTGCGAGTGTTGGTCGGTGGAGCTTTGTGCTCGACTCGCGAGTATGCCCCAACCGGGGCCGTGCTGAGGCTGGGGGTCGGGTCTTACGAGTTGCTCCCCCGCCCAGACCCGCTGTTTGAAAGCATGTTTGCCTTCTTTGTTGCCCAGTCGTTGCGAGCCGTGTCCGGCCCCCCGTGTTTGTGTGTTTCGGGAGGGAGGGGGGGGGTCAATCTCCCATTCCGGATGTTCCCAAGGCGGTAGGCCTGTGTCTTCAGTAGCGGTGTCGTGCAGCTCTTCCTCGCCGGATTGGTCTGCTGTCACGGTGTCCTGTGGGTCTGCGTGGGAGTCGGTGGTGTTTCTGCCGGGGCTTGGTGGTGGTCGTGGTTGGACGAACTCGGGGAGCTC